AATATTAATGCAAGCAGCCGCTACCTGCACTGCCTAAGCGTCAGTGCACCAATTTCCTACAAAAAGAGAGGCTAAAGAAGCAGCAGCGACAAGCAAGGTACGTAGACGCGGGCGGCCGCTGAGGCATTGGGGCTAAATGATGAGACCAGCGTGTTGAGAAGGCGTACACAAATAGGTCGAGAAGCTTTGGGTGAATAGCGGTTCAGATTGTACTGCCAGCGTGCGCAGCACGGGTATTCTGAGAACGGCAATTGAAGCATTCCTGTGGTGGGAACACAAGGGCGACACAATTTTCATGTTTTACAAATAAAATTTACTTCCCGAAAAATAATTATGTGGGGGGATAAATAATTGTGGATAAATAATTATCCATGAAAGCCTCCAATTCTTCAAACATTTTTTTTTCTAAACACCCTCTGCTAGAGCACATCCCGTAACTAATTCAGTGTAGCTACAGCCCCTGCTGTGCGTGGAAAGATGCACCTCGTAAAGTTCGTCTGTGATGACGTGGCCTTTCCTGCGTTCTGGTGTTCCGCACCTGCATGCGTTATCTGAACTACTGCGGTGGGATTTTTTTTTTTTTTTGCCATCGCTGAGTTATGAGCTGCGTTTCATCGTTGGTGATCGCGTTGAGTACGGTGTCCAACCGGCAACGGGACGAGGCGGACCACACGCCGGGCATGCGCCTCTGTAGCAGCTGAAGCGATATGCTGTGCTAGGATTTAATAGCAACAAGGTAACGCCAGGCGACCCATACCTTTTGGACAAGACACCAAGAACTGCGCTCGTTCGATTTTCGTGACTCGGTATTGCGGCGGCTCGGTTTCCATTGGCCTACTATTACTCCTGTTGTCGTTGATCAGATCGCTAAGGTACCCAGTGCGCTACTATTTGCATACCTTCATACGTTACACGTCACGATAATTTGTGCGAGCGTAATGAAACGTAGCACAGTAAGTCCAGGCATTTTTTGTATACTTATTGGCTTATACTTGGTGCTCGATGTGGGAAGTGTGTTAAATCTCGTTATGGTGACCATTGAAAAAGGTAATTGCAACTTGCCGTTACTAAGTGCTCTTTCTTGTGAGAGCTGAATAACACAAGCAATTACATTTTAAATTACGTGCATGTGTGTAAAACAATCAACACGCTGCAAATGTGTGAGGTACGCTGCTGCTTTGTTTAATACATCTGTGGAAGATTTATTGAGTGCTGAATAAAAATGGCAAGAATAAGTTTACAACTGAAAGCAAGGAGCATTACGCGGCGGTTCGACACTCTCAAGTCTGATGGTTGACATTGGTTTAGCTGGCGTTGTTTGATGCGCATTCGTAATAGACGTGACGGCACACCTTACTATGAGTGCCTGGAGTTCTAGGGCCTATGACCATTCGAAGATGAAGGCATCTTCTTTTTTTTACGGCGTACTCATCCAGTTCCGCCGCTCTCCGGTGCTTTTCTACATAGTGTGATGCCGCCCTCCGAGATCTTGTACAACTTCCTTCGTTTCGCACTGCCTCCGTCATGCTGCAAGCGGTGATGGCATGTGATGCGTCAGGTGACGTCAGTTGAAATGAGAGCATAGAGCCCATGATGACTTCACAAATTCAAGCAACATGCAACGTCATCACATCTTATGTTACAATCAATGCCAGCGCCTACAGAAAACACTGAGTGGGACGCCTGCGCCATTCTCGGGCGTTTGACGAGGTATCTAAGGGATTTACTTTAAAGACACACCTTAGTCTGTGACCATCTGATGATATTCTTCATGGCTCTGTCTGCATTTGGGTGATAAGTTACGCTATGTCTGTAAAGTGTATAGCGGAGTAACCATACTCTTGGATTGTGAGCCGCATGATTTGGTTGGCGAGCAGCCTGTATGCACTGGAATATGAGCATTCACGTAAGGTGTTCATCACCGAGACAACAGGCTACACGTTATTTTGCGGGAAGTAGCACAACTGCATTCAGATACCCAATTCCGATAGTTTCTAAAGGCTGAGTTGCGAACTTCATGACCCTACGCTGTGGTGTTGAAATTCTTTGTTTTACATGACAAGCTGCTCGCATGCTCACTTCAGCCTTGCTTGTCAGGTCTGCATGTACTTTGATGACACCTGGTCATCAAGTAAATGCAGAGTCTGTCCTACTAACAAATTATGATCAACCAGCACACTTTGTCGGTAACCTAAGCTTTCAAGGTTTTATTCATCTTTGCCTTCGTCCTCATGATCATCAACACCTTCTCTCTATTTTCTTTACCATCCCCTTTACTTAACGTTTATTTGCACGCCAGAAAAATTTATTCAGGTAGACATTTCAGCTTTCCTCTCGTGATAAATTCTCTCAGTACCTTGCGTCGATGAAAAACGAAGTTAGCTTGAATAACCATATCCCCTTAAGCTACATAAGTTTTGTCGGTATACTAAGCGTTATACGCGGAGATATCGCCGCTGTACTCACGTCAACCAATGTTTTTTTTTTCTATTTAGGCTCCGCGGCATATCAGTCTTGAATTCCTTCATGTTATATTGGGATAAGGGTGCACAGTGAAAGTGCCTCAGGCAGGCTGGCTGATGTTTTGATACGAGGACATACTTTTCTCAAAGGCATCTTGTTTTCTTTGGCGTGTTCGTTGTAATGGGGTTAATAGTGAGTACATGAACAAGAAAACACACGACAAACACTTGTATGTTTTCTCGTTCAAGTATTCACTACTAACACGTCAAGGACAACAAGGCGCCTTTGACAAAGGTAGGTCCTTCTATCGAAATGTCGGCCAGCCTGTCTAAAGACACTTTCACTGTTCACTCTGATTACCCACTATAGGTGTTTCCATCTGTCAGCTCCCAACTAGATTTTGGATTTCATGTGTAAATTGTTGCGCTAAATCTGTCATAGCAACTCCATTCGTGAAAAAAGGCATAGGCTACCGTTCGTCGAGGTCATTCCGTTCCGGAGTTTGCGCAAGCTTTGTTAATCACGCTTGCGTCGTTTTTAGTAAGTTCGATATGCCTTGGAAGGTTTTTCCTTCGTGTTACGAACCGTTGTTCTCGGTCTTTACTAACTCTCTTTGTGTTTTCGTTTCAGATAACCGGTGTATGCCAAGCACAACTCTTCTTGTACGGCACCGTCTATCTAGTCGAGCGTTCATGGTGCGAGCATGTCAAAGAAGTGCGTATCGGTTTACTCAGAGCAACGTAAAGTTGGCGAAGTTGCTCTTGATTTGCTTTTACTCTTGTTCGTATTTTAGTCTTGTCGGTCGCTTAAAGAAGTCAGGCGCCTAAATTATTTTCTATGCAAAGTTTTGAGAGGAAATCTTAGATATGGGTGTAGACCGTACACTCTCTAGCAATAACGAGGCACGGCAAGTGCAACAATATATTGTTTTTTATGCTTTTACAATTTCTTCACTAAAACATATTTAGCTGAACAGTATCATATTTTGTCCCATTTTTGTCCTGATTTATTTAGCAAATATCCCAGGAGTTTTGTTTCTAATTGTGACTTTTCCTTTAGTGTTTTTTTTCCTGAGCGTGGCTTATATTTTTTTTTTGGCAAACTCATAACTCGGGTATCTCGTTTAGCACTTTCTGAATCGAAAATGTGAAATCGATCATCTCGAATAGTTTCTTGCACATTGTATTTTATTACTGCAACTTCTTAAATGGGTCTTTCATTTTTATCGTAATAATACTTGTTTGGGATACACATTTGACATTCCTTGTACTTCTTAGTTTATTTACGCGGCACCCCCCCCCCCACCTCTTAGTTTGCACTACTCGACAGCTGACACACATGGGGGGAGGGGAGGGGGATCAAATCCCGCAAAGATGGGGGCATTTTTTTGTATGGAAGCGGAATGCTTGAAACTTGTGTACTTCGATTCAGGTTCGCGTTAAAGAACACCACGTGGTAAAAATTTCCAACCCCCTCTTGTGTGACGTCTTCAATAATCATGTTGTGGCTTTCAGAACAAAAAAAAAAACATGAGCGTTATTTTCAAATAACGGTAACTGCATTATGTTTAACGACGCCTTTACGCAATTTTTCGTTTCAGGCTAGCCATCATGTGAAGTCCGACTCCTCATCTGGGACACCCTGAAGCGCGTATGCACCAGGCGAGAGAGCCGCAGACATGAGAAATAAAGTTTGAAACATGTCTCTGGTGTTCGCCTCTTTCATAACTCCATGCACCTGAGGGTGGGCATTTCGTCAGATGCGGTATGAAAAGTCCCACGATAGGAAACGCTATGTTTCGGGCAACGAGGTGTAACTCTGTACATGAGCGTCTGAGTGTCCGTGTGTGGTTCTAGACGGCTGCATCTTATTATCTCATCAATTTCTACGAATGGATACTCCTATTTTATTTGTTCTAAAGGCACTGTAGTTGGCATCGTAATGATTGACTGGTGCGAGGAATGTTCTAAGGCAGTTGCCGCAGGTCCATGCCGCTCGGACTGCAAGAACCGATGGCGACGAAAACAGGTTGTCAGAGCTACAGTGCTCTACTTTAACGTTACGTCAACGTTACTAACATCCTCGCCGACAAGAAAACTGCGGCCCTTACGGCAAATTATAAGGGCACTTAAGTGCGAGTCTCAAGCGGCCATCGAAGAGCGCATTCATCTAATTTACGTTATACTTCAGTCGAAACGCTAGCTAAAGCGAGACAAGGCAGTATCCTTACCACCCAGAAAATTGTTACGTTTTTCTCTTCGGGGTGATCTACCATAGGAAAAAAACGGGCTACGTTATATGGTTCTTAGCAAATCATTTCGCATCACATGAAAGTGGCGTTTTTTTTTCTCGTTACCCGTCACTGTGGAAAAGGTCACTTGGAGTTGCGCATTTTCGTGAGCGAATTTTTTGCATATACATTTCCTGCTGTTTGACGCGACATGCAGTTGGGTATGCCGATACGCCACAACTGCACTGCCAGCCGTGGCCTTTAGCTCGGCAAAAGACACTTCTCACTGTGGCTTAACTAGCGCTATTGCCGCCATTCTGCGTCATAACCATGCCTTGATCTCGGCACCAACACCAAAAAAAAAAAAAAAACTGCGAGGTTCATTCCAATCACTTCGTGCCCCGGACCCTTGCCTGCTATATACTACGTTCAAAATGTAGGCATATCTGGTGATGTCCGTGACGAAAACCGTTGCCACGCGCCTATAACAATTATTCATCGTACGGGGAAATATTTTACATGCAAATGCGCCGCATTTTCACATGGATAGAGTATTCACGACAATAATGACATCGACAAATGCATGGGGCACGTGTTTGCTTACATCCCTACTATCCCAGTGTCCTCGACGTACCTTTCAGTCTTCATCACGGTATAGCCTCGTTTGTGACAGAATAAAACAAGGTACCTCTGAAACCACTCTTAGCATGGGCCGTAGTGTCTGCTGCGGCTACTTAAATGTGGCGGCATGTTGCATTTCGCGTAAAATGCACTTGGCGCGTCTTTTTACGAAAAGCTTCTGTTGCTTTCTCATTAGCGATTCAAGCAGTAGAGCATACCATCGCAGCTTTCAGCTGCGGACAAATTTCATGTTGCTGTTCTCTCATTTGGACCTATAGCCAGCCTTATCATGAATACCTTGATGCCATAATTTCTAAACTAGGCTGGCGAGATAGTCTCACCGAAGTTACACTAATATACCCAAAGCACATGTCTCATGACACCCTATTCCCGACGCCCATTGAAGTCTACTGCTGTCGGTGAACGCCACTAGTTGAACTTAAGCGCTGTAGCGTCACTCGGCCTTCTGTTAATGTGCTGCCTCGATAACGACGATATCGACTTCTCTCCCGCAGTGTATAGGAACGGAGCTATGGCGGCAAAAATTGCTTCTGTTGGTCGCAGGCAAAAGTTCATGCACTTAAAGCCGATGCCAAGCCTCGCTTGGTTGCACCCACCACAGACCACCTGTGGCGCTGTTTGTGATGTCAAATAGTCTACTCTTCTCAGGGAAGACCACTAATTGGAGAAACACTCCGAGTTAAAACCACCAGTACTAGTCTGAGAAGGGGAGTGAAGTCAGCGTACAATGTTTTGCTTGATCGTGTTGCGATGGCAGTATCTTTTTTCTTAAGATACATGGTACTTTACTGAATATAACCGAAATACAGATAAAAATATAGACGTATCGCGGTACACATACAAGATATACAAAGAGTATCTTACGTAGTATCTAAGATATAAGTATGTTCAATACTGCCCCATCGTGCGTGCGTCTGCCTTCTCTGGGAATCTCGTAAGTTATTCTGAATAACCAGGGGCTATCCTGCCTGTGTCCCGGTTTATGTTCACTTCTTATTGATTTCAACTATGATATCCTTAACCCCGCTTTCATCCTTGACATACTCTGCTCTATTCTTGTCTCCTAAGGTTACACCTCTTATTTTCATTTCCATCGCTAGTAGCGTCATCCTCAATTTAAATCAACCAGAGTGACATTGCGGGCTTGTTGGTGATAAATTTTAAAGCATTTTTTGTGTAGCGCTAGGAGAAATACGGAAACAGGGATCGGTAGAGGGACAAGACAGAGGGCTAATAGCTGCAACATGTTTATTTCTAAAATCAGACCACCTTTACTTCATAATCGTCAGGCAGACATATAAGCACGAGAAAACGCTCAGATAAATGCGCGACTATGTCATCTACCTAAAATAAATCGTAACAGATAATACCATGTGTTACCTCATACGCAAGAAACCGAGCTCCTTGGTTGGAGATGCTATCGAAGCCTTGCTAGTACAGACGTCGCCAAGAGCGTCAATAAGTCCGGATTCTACGGTCAAACAAGTCATCTCACATTTTTGTCGATCAACAATGACTGCAATTGCGAACAAAGGCCGGACACAACATGCATGAATGTGGAGAGCGAGAAAACCATCCGGCGGCAGTTTATTCAATTTGTAATTGTGCTCTCACAGTCGCTCATTCACACAAACTGGTTTGGCCGACTTATTGTTTTCCCTGCGAGAACAGAACGCTGTAAATAACAAAGGATTTGCACTCAACAAATTTGTGTGCATGCATTTTTCTGCACCAGAGCCTTTTCCCTCGAGAAGAATTTGCCATAACGCACAATTCCCAAATTTTTTAGGCACTGAAAATACCACCCTAATATTATCCCGAAACGACACCTTTTCTTTTGTGGTGACAGGGGGTGAACATATGAAACAATGACTGTGCGTCTCAATTTCGTTCATCGTGAGTGTTAGGTTAGCTTGAGTGTTTCATTATTGAAGTCGGACATATTGACGCTCTTGGCGATAATCCTATTAACAAGCATTCGATAACAATGTCAAGCAAGAAGCTTGGTTTCCTGCGTACGTGGTGATGAATGGTATGATCTGTTACGATTTATTTTATTTTAAGCATATGACATAGCCCCACCTTTATCTGAGTGATCACACGTGCTTATCTGTCTCACGACTATGTCTTAAAAGTGGTGAGTTTAAAAATAAACACAATGTTGCTAGTAGCACTCTGTCTATCTATTCCGGCTATCCATTCCTGCTTCCCTATTTCACCTAGCGCTACAAAAAATTCTTTCAAATCTCAATTTAGGTTCAGCTTATATTCAAGCCCCACGTTTATGCTCCGTATAGGTAAGTACCGGCAAGATGCAGCTGTTATATACATTTCTTTTTGAGAGTGAGTGGTAGACCATCATTCATGATTTGACAATGCCTGCCGAATGTGATCTAACTCATGTTTATTTTCCTATATATTTCACTTTCATGGTTGAACTCCGCGGTTCTTAAGTCTACTAAGTAGACATATTCCTTTGGAACTTCCAGCGTTTCTCCGCCTACTGCAAATAACTGTTTCTTGTCGAGACTGTTGCACATTACTTTGTTTTCATTCATATTAACTTTCAAACCTACTCTTCTGCTGTCTGTGTCCAGTTCAGTAATCATGACCTGTGATTAATCCCCTCAGTTACTCATAAAGGCAATGTCATCAGCAAATCACTGGTTAAAAAGATACAGTTTATTAACTCTTATTCCTAACTCTCTCCAATTAATGGCCCTGAAAACCTCCTGTAAACAAGCGGTTAAGAGCTCTGGCGGCATAGTGTATCTCTGTCTACACTCTCTTTTTTTTGGGGATTCTGCCACTTTCTTTAGGGAGAACTAAGGTGGCTGAGAATCCGCTGTTAATTTCCCCCAGTATGTTTATGTAGCGTTCGTCGATTTGCTGACTCCGTAGTGCCTGCATTACTGCTGATGGCTCGACTGAGTCAAACGCCTCCTCGTAATCTATGAAGGTTATGTATAGGGGTCGGCTGTATTCAGTGCCTTTCTGTCACCTGATTTATAACATGAATAGGGTTTATTGTGGGTAGCATACACGAACGCTTGTCTGGTATTTTGTTTGATATAACTCTAATGCCCCACCAATTCTATTATCTATTGATTTTGTAACTAGTTTGTAGATAACGCACAGTAAGCTGATCGGCCTGTAATTTTTTAAGTCTTTGGCGTCTCCATTCTTATGAATTAGGATGATATGGCGTTCTTTCAAGATTTGGTACTCGTCCCGTCAAGGAACACTTCGTGTATAAGGGGGTCAGTTTTTGTAACACAATTTCTTCACCATCTTTCAGTCAATTCATTGTTATGTTATCCTCGCCGGAGGCTTTGCTTCTTTGTATGCCTTCTAGGGCTTTCATTACTTCCCTATTGTTACTGGTAGGCCATCGAATTTCTGTGAACTCTTATTGCTTAGTAGGTCAGTAGTACTCACCTGAATTGGAAGTGTGCTACTACAAAGTTAGTAACTGCATCAGCCACATAAAAACTTGGTCAACTCTACTCGGTTGCCGTTATCTGCGTTGCGATTCCAATGACACTATTGCCAAAACACACACACACAAATATATATATATATATATATATATATATATATATATATATATATATATATATATATATATATATATATATATATATATATGAAAGAGGTGTATACCTAAGGGCTCGTTTTTCCGTGTTTTAACACAATATTAATGAGATCTAGCAGACAGTAATGCCAAGGAATGTACAGGGGAAGTTATTAGAACCAATGGAATGTAAATAAGATAAGAAGAAAGAAAAGTGGATGAAAAAATAACCAGCCCTTCTGCTCACGGCTGGTTAT